CATGTTAGATTTGCATGGTGTCTAATTAAGATTTCTTTATTGGGGTTCTACTGTTGTTAGGGTAGACGTCTTCAATGCCAGTCCTCATGATCTGGTCTCTTGTTGTTTGAAATGCTTCCCAGTTTCAAGTTCTCCTGACTAGATTTTTGCAAAGGACCTGATTATTTGATTCGGTTGTGCTGCAGAGACTCATTTAAATGGTTTTCAGGACACCGCACCTCATGGACTAAAATTAAAGAGTTTAAAATTAGCAAGTATGTGGACTTCCGTTGTATAGAAACTGGGAAGAGCTCTTTAGTGTTCTAAAGTGTTTTAAAACCAACCTGACCGTATGATCTGGTTGAATTCTCTCTGTAAAGTACCTTGAGATGAAATGTGTTGTGAAATGGCGCTGTATAAATAAACTGAGACAGCAGTTTTCTAGCTATGAGCTATTTCTTGGAAATGATGGTTGGGAACAAAAAGAGGAATTGTTTTTTTTAAGTTCACAGAAAACAGTTATCAAGTAAAAACTATACAATGTGTTGGAAATATTGACAGACATTTGTTGTTTTTAAACATATTAGTATCTGTCCAAGTAGTAAAACTGGATGGGAAGAGGATTGTTCATGTGGTATTTGTTTTGTTCATATGACAGCAGCCAGACATCACAGTAAAGGATATTTGGTGTTTCACGGATGTGGAGAAGTAATCGCCGCGCTGTGGTAGTTTTTTCCTCTGTCTCCAAAGGGTTGGTATGTAATTAGTGTCGGTTAAAATTTACTAGATATATTGATTTTGGATATGAGTATTGGTTTTTGTAAAGCCTAACCAGAAGGTAAAAGGATATGTAGCTCCTGGATATGTGGGGTCTGTAAAGGTCTTGACTTTGGTTTTTCTGACCCTAGGCCTGTACAAGTGTTGGATGGAGGCAAGTAATCCACTGACACAGTTTGTTGATGAGGATGAGTAGAAGCATTGTCCAGGTCCATTCTTTAGAAGTCTACCATCATATCTACAGTTGAGTAGGTTAAGCTCCAGGTAGATCGAATTGCCCCCAATCGACCAACGAGTCCACCTCTTGTCTGTATAAAGACTTTATTTTCCAGGTCTGCTAAGAGTCCACAAGTTTCTAGTATATGTAATTAAAACATGACAAAGTATGTTTTTACTCTTGTGTTTGAACTTTTGTGATTATACGTCGATTTACAACTAGCATATGTCATTGTTTCGACACAATCCGATTGATTACCTCATCGCTTCTAATCTTTCACACAGCCATTCGAAGTAGAAATATAGTTAACTAAACTGCAGGTTGTATCAGAACATTCCTAGCTTACATAGCTTTGAGTAACATCATTTCATCACCTTTTATTCTTGCATGTTAGTAGATAACTGATAAACTAAAACACTGTGTAATACTACTAGCTGCAGCCATTAAGTGTGTTAAATTTTGTTTATAGTGGCAGGGCCAGCCAACTAGTTTTTTCCAAGCATGTTTACGGTTGAAGCAAAAGCTAGTTTCTGAAAGTAATGACAAAAAAAAGTTCTTGTTGGTTTTCCTTTTAATTATGAAGTTTAACTGAGTGGGGAAAAAATAAATCTATAACATGGAACAAATCAGATATATATATGTATATATATTACCCAGCCCTGTAATTAATAAAGGCATAGAATGTTGTGTTTCTTCCCCCTTATTTTGGTCATAATTTATAGTCAACTGAACAACTATAAGGAACACACCATGCCAGTAAATAACTGGATGTTTTAGAATTTTCCTAGAAGTCGATGTGATTTCCGCAAATCTTGTGTTTGGGCTGATTGAAAATGTCCCCCTAACTTAACCTCCATTGAAACTGTTAAAATGGATTGAACTAATCGCAGGGCGATAGAGGCGACAACACTTGAGTTGTTTATACTGTAAACATGGCTGAAATTGAATACCAATAAATATAATGCCACATCCGTCATGTGAAACCATTAGCTGGAAAACTGAAGCACCTAGTTTATAATCTAGACAATTCTAGAATTTCATCAGACAGACAGACTGTCACACTTCACCACAATGGGTAATATGGCTTGTTGTTTTTTTTGTTTTTTTCCGTTTTGGGTCACTAATGTTGCTGTAACATTTTCAAAAAATGTAGCTGAAACAATGAACGTTAATTAACACTTAACAACTTAGTGACTAGGATAGATATAGAAGGAGCAAGAAAGAATTTGTCCTTTGTGGAGAGGCTTTCTTAAAATAAAAGACGGTTTTTGCATCCTTTTTAGCACTTCTGAAAGTCTGCTGCAAAATCGCATGTAAACATTTTGGTGGTAATTTTGGCCACAAATGAGGTATTGGTTCTATTACAGACGTTACAGAGAAATTCTGTTTCAATAAAGAAAAAAATGGCTGGGACAAAGCAGCAGCAGACAAAGATGTTTTATTTTTTCTTATTTATTTTTGAATGATTGTAGTTTTTTACTTTTTGTTTGTAGCACTTTGAGATAAACTACCTATGTGAAATGAACTCTGAAAACTATTTAGTATTATCATTGTTAATATTTAAATGAGTATTGTCATTATTACCTCCAACTGCATGACTTCGAACCTAGTTTTTCTTTTAGACTCACTCTATAGCTGCCTGTATCACACACAATCTGCTGATTTTAATGGGGTGGAACCAGCCGGATTTGCAAATATTAAAAATGCCCCCTTTATTTGAAATCTCTGGAAAATAAGACCCAACTTCACTACCTTGTTTTTGTGTTGATAGGGGTAGTAATATAAACATGGGGGTCAGTTTAAGTCGAAGATCAAGTGTGAAAAAAATAACAATGCAGCAATAGATGGATTTAAGAAGGACAAGACTCAAATAGCGCTTTGAATAAATTGAGAAAGTTGGTTTTCACTGAGCTAGGAATTTGGATGTTTCTGGGAACCTGATGGGTGTGTGAGTAAACATTTTTATCGACATATTGGGTATATATTTTAGGAGCTTGCAGGTAGAATTAGCTCTTCTAGGATGGGATGACATTACTAGTCATTACTAGTCTTATTTCCTATTCCTTTCCTATTCCATGACTTTAGTACATTCACTTTTGCTACAGATCCTGTAAGGGTGCTTATTTAGTCCAAAATGGTTGCTCTGTATTCACAGCAGCAGAAATTGCACCATAGTCTGTTTAGAAGAGGACCATGACTATCTCAGAAAGTGGTGTCTTGGTTATTTGTCTGGACCAAGGTTTGCTTAAGTGCATTTATCACTGCGCAAAAGGTCTGGACTGACCTGAGGGGAAAAAAACATCTCTGGTCTTTGTAAAACAAAACAATCATGGCAGGTGGGAATGTATCCTGATGCTCTCTTCCCTGTTTGCCATGGAAGACAGTTAATTTTGTTTGGTGAGCCACTCATTTGTTAATTTAGGCATATGGATCCTTATCCAATTGAATGATCCAATGAAAGTCCTTGTCTACTTATCTGGCACTGACCAACACATCATTTTAAAAGCTAACAGTACTTCTAAGAGTCTTTAATGGCATGCCCTCACACATGGGGGATTTGGAAGAGTAACATCCCCACAATATAGTAGATCATCC